AATCGGTCGCTCCTTGATCGCGAGCTTTAAGCGTATCTTCCCTTGTGGTCGACCTGAGGGACGAACCAGCTCAAGCGAGTTGATCAATTCGGGAATCATCGTCCCGTCTGAGTCAACCAAACGAGCCAGAGGAAACCTAACCGATCCGACGAGGGTTTTCGCCAGATCCGAAGAATTGGAATGAAAAACCTCGATGTTGAGTACCGATTCATGGACGGATCGGGTAATCGGAAGAACGATCCGCTCGTTCCACACCGGTTTCGCGGAATCGTCGAAGCGAGTCGAGAGACGATTGTCTGGGTCAAGGTACAGAACAACGTAGGGTTTCAGATCACCGTTACGCCAGTTAACATTCTTCAGATTCTTCGCAGAGACGACGGTGACCACCACGTCGAGTGGCTCCGACGAAGCCATGATACGGTGATTGATAATTCGCAGCGAGTCTTAAGCTAACGTGCGCTTGTGTCTAGATTCTTTATCGGTAAGAAAAAAGTTTCAGCTTTTAACGTTTTTATTTTAAAACCTTTCTTTAAACCTACTGGTTAGTAAAGAGGCTTTTGACTTTTGACTTTTGACTCATTCTTACTGGAATGGGATATTATCATCCTTATGTCCAAACAGATCCCTAAATTCTCACCAAGCACAAGATAGGCGTTTGGATAAGTCTTTCAGTGTTCTTCTTCTTCTTCGTTGTGAATAAGGTTAAGGGAACAATGGCTTCCTCTGCAACAGCACCAAATTCACTATCTTTCTTCTCATCTTCGCTCTTTTTGTCATCTTCTCACCAAATCCCTAAAACCCACATTTCCGTTTCGAAATTCGGCTCCGGGAGAGTAACGAAGCCACTCTCCGTCGTGTCTCAGTTAGCGACTTTACCGATTATCTCATTCGAGGGAGAGAAAGTTGGGGAGACTTACCTCGACCTCAAAACGGCGCCGGAAGATACCGCGCGTGCAGTTGTCCACCGTGCAATCGTGACGGATTTGCAGAACAAGCGGCGAGGAACGGCGTCGACGCTGACTCGCGGTGAAGTTCGCGGTGGTGGAATCAAACCTTACGCGCAGAAGAAAACAGGTAACGCGAGACGTGGATCTCAGAGAACGCCGTTACGTCCCGGCGGAGGAGTGGTGTTCGGACCAAAACCTAGAGATTGGTCGATTAAAATCAACAAGAAGGAGAAGCGGCTTGCGATATCGACGGCGATTTCGAGTGCGGCTACGTCGGAAGGAGCGATAGTGGTGGAGGAGTTTGGTGATAAGTTCGAGAAGCCGAAGACGAAAGATTTCTTAGCTGCGATGCAGAGGTGGGGTTTGGATCCTAAGGAGAAAGCTATGTTTTTGATGATTGATGTGGAGGAGAATGTGGCGAAATCGAGCAGGAACATTGGAACTCTGAGGATGCTGACTCCGAGGACGTTGAATCTGTTCGACATTTTGAATGCTGATAAGCTTGTGTTGACTCCTGCGGCTGTGGAGTTCTTGAATGCTAGGTATGGTGCTGATGCGTTTGAGACAGACGGG